GTAGGAACCATCATTTTTACGAACGTAGCATCGTAGGTGCCCCAAACAAATCGGTGTATATGTAACCGGTGTCATTTTAGACGCGCTCTGTATATATAGTGTGTGTGTTTATTTCGCACTCCATTGATTTCGTATCCAGCTAAAACACTTTATATTTGATACTTCCCCCTTGTATACTTGACGGTCTCTTATTTGTTTTTCCTTGCAGATAATTGAAGTTATCTGCTGCAAATTGACCCCTTTGCAAGCACAACTTTACAGCCATTTTATACATTCTAAAAATGTAAAGTTTTACTTATTGTGTTTATTCATATTAGCTGTGTACGATCTTTAAACTCTCTGAAAATGTTTTATATGTACTTTATGTACTTGTTTCCGTCTTATATATGCAGGTAAAACGAGCTATTACAGAGGAAACAAAACGATCAAAAATATTGGCTTACATTACTGCCTTAAAAAAGCTCTGCAATCACCCAAAGGTACTACATATTGTACACTAAGCTCTCTCTCTCTCTCTCTCTCTCTGTGTGTGTGTGTGTATATATATATATATATATATATATATATATATATATATATATAGACACACACATACATACTTGGGGTAAAAAAAACATACTTGGGGTATTAAACATTGTCTTTGGTTCTGCTTATCTCTTGCTTGCCATTCATAAGCCCGAAGAATCATTTTGCTTCATCTATTTTGAAGCTAATTTATGACACAATAAAGAGTGGGAAGCCAGGTACTATGGGGTTTGAAGATAGTATCACCTTATTCCCTCAAGAAATGTTTTCTGGAAGGTGAGTTCAAACATTAGCATGAGGTTTGAGATTTGTTCTTGTTGTACTGTTTCTGCTCAGAATATTGTTGACAGTATTGGCCATCATATTTTCACATTTATTAAAACACCTTCCTTGATAACTCTTAGGTCTGGTTCGTGGACTGGTGGAGATGGTCTTTGGGTAGAATTATCTGGGAAAATGCATGTATTAGCCCGGTTATTGGCTCAACTCCGTCACACAACTGATGATAGAATTGTCCTAGTCTCAAACTACACTCAGGTGTGGCATAGTAGTTGAAGATAGTTATTTCCTGTTTTTCTTCATTGAATAGCATACCTGCTACCCTGAAACTCGTACAATCATTCTTAAGTTCTTCCTACATTGATTCAGGTGTCTGCTATACCAAGTACTAAGGTTTCTGTAGTCTAAATTTAATTTATGCTCTAGAGTATAATTGAAAGATTTATCTTTTTATGCAACTTCCCCCTCCATTCCAAAATGTTAGTTTATTTTAGAAAAGAGTTAAAAATAAGGAAACAACGATTCGATGCTTGATTAGTACAACAAGCACAACCAACACATTAATAATGGATGTCTTTTCATGTGCAATTTGTATCTTTTCTATCATTTTCAAGTACATTTTGTACTTTATCACTTCTCATGTTAAATTTGTACTTTTTTCTACAATTTTCATTTTACTACATTTGGACGTGGACAATAATTTGAGACACCAAAAAATAGAAAAAATAACCAACATTTTGGGACGGAGTATTATTTTATGACATGTGGTTTTCAGTACAAACAACAAGAGTAGTTTTACTTTTAGCTTGCTAACTTTTATGCTTATATTCTTTAAGAAGGGTGTAACACGTAAGGCATTTGGCGTAAAACATAGCCAGAATGCTTTTTGCATAAATTTGTTGTTTTAATTCAGTTAATACAATTAATTGACATTATAAACTTAATGCCACCTACCCCAACTAATTGGGATTTAGGTGCTGATATGATGATAGCTTTTATGTTTATCTTTCTTACTCTCTAAATATGTGTCTTTGGATATGTAGACGCTGGACCTTTTTGCTCAACTCTGTCGTGAAAGAAGATATCCCTTTGTAAGACTTGATGGAACGACCTCTATTACCAAAAGACAAAAGTTAGTAAATGAGTTTAACGATCCATCAAAGGTATGTGAATACTTTGAGATACATCGGTCTCTTAAGTAGTTTGCTCATGTTATATTATTATGAATGCCTTATAGTAAGAAAGGTGAATGAATTATTTTAGGAGGGGTTTGCATTTCTCTTAAGTAGCAAGGCAGGGGGTTGTGGGCTCAATTTGATTGGTGGAAACCGGCTAGTGTTATTTGATCCAGACTGGAATCCCGCAAATGACAAACAGGTAAAGTTTCCCCCCCTTCTTTTGGCATGGAAACTGTGGAACAATGACAGCGAATACTGGCATTAAGGTTGTAGTCTTCAGGCTGCAGCAAGAGTATGGAGAGATGGGCAGAAGAAGAGGGTTTTTGTCTATAGGTTTTTGAGTAGCGGAACTATAGAAGAAAAGGTCAGTTCACTGATATTAAAACCACACTCCTAGTTAATTACGGATCAGTTAACTTATACTCCATATTTTTATGATCATGTGACTTTTTCTTTGTATCCCACAGATTTACCAGCGTCAAATTTCAAAAGAGGGGCTTCAGCAAGTTATTCAGCAGGAGCAAACAGATCATGAGGTCCAGGTATTGTGGTTCCTTGACTTGCTTCTGTTTTCTTATTATGCTATTTTTTCATAAAGAATTATTACGGACTATTATTACTATTATTATTTCATAAAATACCGTCATTATATTTTCAGGGAAGCTTCCTTTCAGCGGAAGATCTGAGAGACTTGTTCACTTTCCATGACAATGCGAGGTTTATCTGTGTGCTTTTTGATTTCTTGCAGAAATAAGCTACATTGTACTAAACATAGAAAACGATCAACGGATTTTGAGCCTCTTCCTAGGCTCTGGTTTTTTTAAAAAAAATATAATTTTACACCATACATACACTATTGCCACTGTAACTATTGTGACTGGATCAGCTGATTATGAAAACAAGCAGTGCAACAGGTTGTTTCTTTTGGTAGAAATACTGAAGTTATATAAATAAATTAATTTTTTAAAATTTTATTCTCTTTAATTTATTCAACTTTTAAATTTAAAGTTATTCAGTCAACAGTTATGTTGCTATTATTACAATCAAATCACAATGCAGGTCTGAAATTCACGAAAAGATCAGTTGCACCCGTTGCCAAGAGCATGCTGATGAGGTGATTATAGACGGAACTGGTGAAGCAATGTCCACAGATAAACCCAACCAGGAAGACATTGGGGGTTTTGCTGGTGTTGCTGGTGTCTTGAACAAGTTAAAAGGTTCAGAGAAGCAGGTGCATGCCCAAGTCTTCTTCATGCCAAAACTGCATCACCTTTTCATCTTTCCCTCATGTCCATAACTTTTTTTTTCATATGCAATTTCTACAGATTGGAACTCCCAAAGAAGAGGATTTAGCTAACTGGGGGCATCACTTTTTTCCAGCGTCTGTTCCTGATACCATTCTTCAGTCTGCAGCTGTCGATGAGGTCATTCAACCTTGTTCTAACTTCTAATAATTTCTGTAAACTTGTAGGGCCCTTTTCGGCACTCTAAAATGCCAGTGAAAGAAAATAGAGAGGAAATTTAAGAACTTGTAGGATAAAATGCAAAGTTAACTGAGAAAACCAAAGGATAACTGAATTCTGGAAATACTCACTCCTTCACAAAATAAACTTTTGTGTTTGACTTTTATGGAGTTTAAGAAAAATATTAAAAAGTAATAGGTAAGTGATTAAAATTTAATTAGAGGAGAAAGAAGGATTTTGAGCTGCATATGTCATCCCTAAAAGGGAAAAGAAGAGAGGTGAAGTTATATTTTGAGACAGAAGATATATTAGCGAAACAGAAAGATGCCTCTCCTCTTAGAGTCCAGACTCTAAATGTATGTGAACTTTTGAAAAATTATAGTCAAATTTGAGCCATTTTTTTCTCCAAGACAATAAAACATAAAAAACACGTACCGGTCAGCATTTTTTGTTTTGTTTTGTTAAGCTATCAATTTTTGTAGCTCCAAGCAGTCTAGTAGCAAACTCTTTCACTCATCATTCATCCATTCTACCTTTAGCAGGTTTCATTTGTGTTCACATGTCAAATTGACGGGAAGCTCGTGCCCATGGAGTCCACAGGGAAGCCAAAACCCGAAGGAGTCGGAGTCGGACAGATGAACAATGTGAGTTTGAAAAGGAGGACGCTGCCCCAGAGACGAACAACATCCCTTTCTTCTCCACCATGCCAAGCAGTATCACCAAGTGATAAAATATCATTATGTGCCACCAAACAAGCTTCATTTCAGGTTTCTTCTAGGAGCCCATTGCCTGCTTTTTTGCACACTCAATCCCCCATCTCTACCAAAGTACAACCAAAATCTTTGGGCCGTACATCAAAAGCGAAATTGAATAATTTAATCTCTCCTCGATTTCAGATGCCTAAGAAAAAGAGAACGTCACTTGGTGCTCTGAGCGATGATGATTTTGTATAGGCTTCGTTTCTTCAGTTTGTACGTTCTCATAATTTGCGTCAAGAAAAAAAAAGCACACACAAATAAATGGGTTTGGATCTCACAACTCATGTAAATGTGTAGAGATGGTTATTGCAAACAGTTTTGTCTAAGGCATTTGATTAATTAAGGTCAAACTATTGTGTTTGTAGTAATTAAATTCCTGTATAAGGGAAGATATATAATTATCTATCATTAATTTTTGTGTAGAATATTTCATTTAAGGAAACATGAGGTATAGCTTACTTGTCTTTTTTTTTGAATAATGCTTAAAATCATTGTCTCAAGTTCATGTTACATCTTTTGACAACTCTACTTTTTTTTTCTTATTTGGGTTTCGTGTTGCGGGTTGACACTGTTATATTTACAGATTCGTTATGATTCTTGAAAATCAACAGCAATGGCCGTCAGACTTAAATTTTCAAAGGAAATGCTAGTTAGAGTTAAATTTAGTGCAGTAATATGAAGGGTTACCCAACACAATAGTGCGAGAAAGAATATGTGGTACGGAGTAGATAATAGAATTAGACACGTATCAACTGGACTCAATACAAGGCGCATAACCCAACACACACACACACACACACACACACATATATATTCACAAATATGTAGATTTGGAATTCAAATTATGGAATTAGAATTGAAAACAATAATTCTAATTCTAGTGTTTGGTAGTACAAAAATATATAAATTTAGAATTCGTAGTGCCAAAAATGAATTGAAATTGGATAATTCAATTGCATCCAAATCAATTCCATAGAATTTCAACTTCTAATTTAATTCCAATTTCGTCAATCTTGTGTACCAAACCAAACCTAAAAGTCTTGATAGAATTTTATATTTAAGCTGTATCTATAACTCTTTAGCATGTATCCAAAGGAAATCCTTTCTAACCATGGGTGTTTCACAATTAGACCCGATCACGGGTTTGGGTATCCACCCTATTCGTAAAAGTCTGCCTGTAAAATAGCAAGTTACGTTCATAAATTTCTCTTTACCTGCACGGATAGTTTAGATGGTTTTGGAAGGAGTGTAAAGTCCAGAATCTCAAAATCAATCCCATAATCAACAATGTGAAAAGTGTATCCAATGTAATACTAACTCCGTCCCATTTTATAACGCCTGTTTCGGTTTACGATGTTTGACTGAAATTATTTTTAAACCATTTTATATGACAAATGGTATAGAATTAAAAAATAAAAATTACATATTAAAAAACTACATCAAAAGATCTACAAAACTAGTAGTGACAATAATATTTTATTTTATCAAATTGCTAACGAAAATAGAGAAAGAAAGTAAATGAAGTTTGACCCTGTGAATAGTAAACATGCATTATAATTTGGGACGGAAGGAGTAACTCATTATGCATGATGGGCAAGGTTCCCATGACATTGCCCGGCAATGTCATGGAAACCTTGGTGATGCATGATTTATCTCCTCACTGTTCTGTTGGACTAAAGGGTGATAATATGGAATGAAAAATAGCAGAAGAAGATAAGGACGGGAGAATTTACTTAGAAGAACCAGAGAGGGAAGGATCTTCATCAAATGCTATCTCCCTTTTTCCCATCTCCTCTTCACACCTCTATCCTCCACCTTCTCGCATCTCTAGATGGTCCTCTTAATTCCGAGCTTTTTTACATAGAAGGCACTCGAATTTTGCACATTGTAATAAAAAGGTACCATATTTTCAACTTGTAACAAAAAAGATACCTCATCTTTAAAAAATATAACAAAGAGATACCCATTTCCGGAATTTTAAGAATCTGGCCAAAGAATTCACATGTGGCGTTCTACTTAACTTTCTGGTGCACATGTGTCATTTCATATGGCTTCCAAATTAACTTGTAATTTATCTAATATTTGACTAACTTTGTAATGAAAGTATATTTTACGGAGTATATTTCAATTTTATCTTAACCTCGTGCTTTATATAATATTTTTATTTTAATTTTAGTATTTTAGAAAATTTATAATTTACAAGATACTACGTATTTTAAACCTAAGTAGCAATAATATTTTGAATATTGTCTATAATATATTTTTAAAGATTTATTAAGAATTTTTTAAGATTTGAATTATAAAAAATACTACCTCCGTCCCACTGTCTTTGTCCACTTTTGACTTTTAGAACTGTTCATCTAAGCACTTTGACTCATCAAATTTTCTCAATGTGTAAGCCTAAATATAGTCATGTGTGATCTTGTTTGATTTGTCTTAACATATAGATTATTAATATATAATTTCTATAATTTTTTAATATACAAATTACAAGATAAAATGGATTAAAGAAGTGCATTAGATGGTGTGCCAAAAGGTAAGTGAACAAAGACAGTGGGACGGAGATAGTATGTATTATTATTTTTATTGTTATTACTACTACTACTACGACTTTCATCATCATCACTATTATCTAGTATTATTGATATGTTTAATGAGTTTTATAAGTTGCATCGAGTTTGGATAAGTTTGCGTTCAGGTTGAGAATTATATAATCATGACCCAATGTCATTGAATTTGGATTGATTCAACGAGTTATAAGTTTTTTTTAGAATATTAAAATTTATACTAGCACTTACATTTTACATTAAAAACATTAATAAAATATCAAAATACAAAATAAAATATCAATATAAGGCCTCGAGTAAAAAAAAGTCATGCCATTTTTTGCCAGGTCTGCTAGGGCCTACGAACAAAGATCAAAGTAGGGAATTAAGAGCTCACGCTTCTAAATCTTATAAATGCAAAAGTTTCCTGAAAAAACAAAAAGAAGAAAATAACGAAAAAATGCAAAACTAAAACCAATCAAAGAAACGAATTAATTCAAAAAAATGAATTGGATTTTTTTAATCGTTGCCAAGTCAATCCACACCCACCCCCTCATTCACTTAACATTTTTTAAAAGTGTATTGATTGTCATAAGAGTATAGAGCGAGCGCAATCATTTCATCATCTACCCCCTCGGCGTTCAAAAGATTTCAACGCGTGGCAAGGGCACTCAAAGACTTTTGGCCTAGTTTTTCCCTTTGTCACGTTCAAAAGAGGTCACCAAAGTGNCTAAAACCAATCAAAGAAACGAATTAATTCAAAAAAATGAATTGGATTTTTTTAATCGTTGCCAAGTCAATCCACACCCACCCCCTCATTCACTTAACATTTTTTAAAAGTGTATTGATTGTCATAAGAGTATAGAGCGAGCGCAATCATTTCATCATCTACCCCCTCGGCGTTCAAAAGATTTCAACGCGTGGCAAGGGCACTCAAAGACTTTTGGCCTAGTTTTTCCCTTTGTCACGTTCAAAAGAGGTCACCAAAGTGGAGACACGATCTATGTTGAAGGCAATCGTCTAAACCCTTGTCCCCCTTTAGTGTCCATTTCACAAGATCTCAACATGAGAAGGGTTATAGGTAACCCATAGAAGTGAGGGGAACTAACACAGAACATGAGACTACAAACTCATCAAATGTCCAATTATATACAATACTCTCTGGAAGAAAAAACAACACATGAAAATTTCATGAGTTGTACCACACTGTCTCCAAGGTTGACACTGTCTGTGATTTTTGTCCTCACAGACAGTGGACAGTTTATATTACAGTGCATTGTATGTGAGGACAAAGACATGTACCGTGTCACTTTGGTGTCAATTGCACATAGCATCTTTGAAATTTCATTACTCTTTATGTACATTCCATATTTTATACAGCAGCGGCTTGCAAATAATTCCTTTTTAAAATGCAAAAGAATCAGCACAATTTGTAAACCTGCAACAGATGATCAGGAAAACTAGGTTTTTTCTTTAAAACCACTTTAGCATCAAAAGAGAGATGTATCAGACTTGAACTCACCTATGCCCAAATGAAAGAGGGGCTTGCAAATAGGAATCCGATTTCTGTACCAAAACCCACCCTCCCAACGCGCTGATGACCGACTCCATTATCATCAATCCACGTGGCCTTTTTGCTTGAAAACTGAAGGCACTCTCCCATGATTCAGTAGATAAATTAGAACATCAATCTCCTATTTTATGCACACCAACTACATGAAGTGTTGAGTTGGAGATGTTCCCAAGTATTTATCTAAAGACTCTTTCTTGCGCCCAGGATCAAGACTGCAAAATATGTCAACAATTACTACACTATTATCTAGACGGCAGAAAAGAAATACAAATACATGTGACACCCTGTCTGAGTTTAGTTGGCCAGTTGTTCTAACCCCCTCAAATTTAAAGAATGGGTGAGTTAAAAAATCCGCTTTTCCTCCATTGTTGGCAACAAGCTTAATGTGCATTTTAGGGGTATTTTGGGCAATTCCACATTATTTGTGCAATGAATGATGTAAGTAGACAATTGATTCCGAACACCCTACAACGGACTAGGTAAGTGGACAAGTAAATTCGGTTGCAAGAACATAAGTACTCATGCGCCCCAAAATAAACTTCTCGCTTTCTTTTTTTGGTTGTCCCAAAACAAAGTTCCTATTCCTTTTAATGTATAGAATGAGTGGTCCACATTAACTCTCCCTCCTTTGCATAAATCTCAACCAAACAATTTCACTTTTTATAAAACCCGTGAAAAAAACAAACACGAACATCAATTTGGGACGGAGGGAGTTATACTTTTACTTTATAAAGTAAGATGTGTAACTTGTAGTAATTATAGGTACTCCATCCATCCAAAAACGAGTCATGTTTCAGTAACTTTTTTTGCCCTAAAAAAAGTGGCCGGTTTTAGAAGCCAACTTTCATTTTAAAGTAAGATTCTTGTGCAGAGTTATGGCAAGCAGTTTTAGTCAATCACTCCAAGAGTCCAAGCAATCCTTGGAATAGGTTTTAGGGGTCTAAATGACCACTCATAATTTCTATGAGCTTGAACCTTTTTAAATTGACTAATGTAAAAACTTGTACCTTACTACATTACCTTAGTGAAACGCGGCTCTTTTTTTGGGCGGTGGAGTATTAAATTTGTGATCAAATGTGTAACTGTTTGATTGAAAAAAGATGATGAATGGGGAGTCATGTATGGATGTGTGTGTGTGCAGTCCTCATGCAGAATAGATACAAACTAAAAAAAGCATGATAGAGGAAAAGCGGCAAAGGATAGTCACCCACCTATTCCTAACCCCTAAAAGAGCACAGTGGAGAGCACGTGCAGTGGCTGAAGCCGGGGCAATGGCTGCGGAAGGAGCAGCCTTAACGGCAGTCACGAGAGCAGTCCCCATCCCTGCACCACGCTGGTATCGTTTCAAGGGTGTTCTTACCAATACAGAAGCAGATTTACTTAATCCATCACTAATACTATCATATGCCTGCCAACGTAAAAAGAATCAAGACACTCATTTAGAACATTTATAGTAGGGTATTTCAGACTCACTGTCAATCGAGTCTACCAACAAGGCAACAAATAGAAATAGAAAAAATCAAAAGCCAAATCAAACAACTGGAGCCCCCAACTAAGGGCTGCACACGGATCATTTCTGAACTATATATATTTGATACTATTCCAATCTTTGCTTAACCCTCACAGAAGGAATTATCTCTTTTGAGAAGGAATAGAACAATAATCATAAATTAGATATGGCCAACAAAATACACAATGGGAAACAAGTCATTTAGAGAAATCAACAGAAAAGTCAATTGGAAACATGTCAAAGCTACATTTTTAATCATAATAATAAAAAAAAGAGGTATGGTAAGACTCTTTGAAAAAAGTAAGTGCTTGGATATTCACAAAGTATATAGAATTGTAGACGTAAAGAAATAAAAGGAACCAGTAGCCACAAGCAATCAACTTGAACGTGAATCAAGAACAATTACGAATTATGATGAAACGTAACTAAACATGTAAAAAAGGAAAGCCCATTCCTATTTCCTAATATTTTTGGAATGCCTACCTGCTGGATTCCTTGTCGAGCATCTTCAGGCTGATTAGATCTCACACAGTCCCGCCTATCATTTACAGATAAAGAGATAGATGGTGGAATTGTTGTCAATATATATTCTGCTTGGAGCAAAATGTCATGAGCTCCAGCTGCCAAATGTACTCCTAGCCCAATTGCTTCAAGCGATATACTTCTAAGGAATGCAATTGTGCCTGTAAGAAACAGGGCATAACAGCCACAAATATTATGATATCATTATAAGACAATAGAAAATAAGAGCTCCATAATTGGCATAACTTGATTACACACTCCCTCCATCTCACCGAATTAATAGACTCGCTTCACTATTCACCAAATTAATCTACCTCTTTGCATTCCTTTCAGCAATTTGTGATCCTTTTTGTAGCTCTTCACCGGAAGTGACACCAACTTGGCAGCTCCAGAACCAACAGCAACCAATGATCGAATAGGAGGAAGCCCTTTCAGTAGTTTATGAATCTATAGAACAACAAGGTTGTCAATTTGCATCCTCACCATTAAGCCAGGATTGACATTGAGTCTAAATGTTATCCCAAGGTAAATACTTTTTAACTAACCTGATTCTGAGAAATATCTTCCAACCACTCCCCTATTATACTTTCACAAACACAACCCCAGCCATAGACACCAATACGCTGAACATGTTTGAGGCTCATCTCAACACCCTGGCATTAGAAATAGGTGAGAAAGAATTGAATACCTGTTTCTACCAACATAAGAAACATAACCATATTGCACCTCAAGTAAAATTGTCCAACAAATGAGAGAAAGTTCATTGTGTATCTAACGTAACTTTTGAAGAGCAAGTTAATTATAGTCATATGCTAACGATGGTAAAACACTACGATACCAATTTCCAAAGATGTTGAAATGATCACTTCAGTGTCCATATTTTTGCAGGCAATATTCAATATATTAACCAGTTACCACTACAAATTATGTTAACAACCAAAAACAGAAGAGAGAACAAATACCTTCCAAGGCACAAGATTGACAAGCTCCACATACTTTCCACCTCTTAATGCAGCCAAGTCAACGCGGCAAGGACTATAGTCAACCCGAACAAGCATAGGCCATATTTCAAATTTCTGCATCCGAAGTCCCGTAGCATATATTATTAGCAAAATCAAACTGTATATGCTTTTCAAACAAGGCAGGAGTATGTAGTCATTCTAAAAAATTGTGCACACAAGAAAACAACGGACTTTCTCGTTGTAAACATCTGTTTACAGGTCACAAATGGGCATGTGTGAGAGACAGGAACTAATATCCTTTAGAGATGAGAGCTATCAGATAAGGCAAAAATAAAATAGAACTCCAAACCACTACCTGAAAATATGGAAGTAATGCCTCCATGGTAATTGTATGGCCTCCAATCACAGTTTTTTGCTTTGAAATTGATATTGGTTCATATAGATTTTGTGAAGCATCATGTGATGAATTACTTGTTGAGTTCGTTCCCCCAAAGAATGTGATGAGAAAATCAAGCTGGGTTTGGTGAAGATGCAACCGTATTGGGAGGAAAGCAACACGCAATCTAAAGATAACAACATAACAGTCATTCTACTGACTGAACATACGGAGTATCTGATAAGGGGTGACTTGATTTTTTTGTCAGTTCTACATTAAGGACTGGAACACATCACAAAAGACTCAAAAAATATGTTAAAGATGAAGATGCAGTAAGTTGAATATCTAACCGGTACTCCTCCAGAGGTATAGCAGGTTCAGGTCTGACAGCTTCTAGATCCAGCTTAAATGCTTTGGAGGATGACTTTCTTGCGCAATCTTTTGATTGATAATATCCCAGCACCTTCGAAATCGAATATAAGGGTTCTGATCAAGTCCAACATAGGGCACACTATTATTTAAAAATCCAAGTTAAAAAGCGTTTAAGTTTACCAGTTTCCATGGGGCATCATTGCTGCAATCGCTGAGAAAAAAATCCTTCACTGCAATGGATAATCTAGATACGTGTATTCCACCATCAGGATATATGTCATACTCAAAGCTGACTCCAGACAATATGAGCTCTAAGCATGAAGTTGTATCTCGTCCACATGTACCAGCAGAACATTGGGCAGTTTTCTCAAAACTTTTCCAGTCAGAACCAGCATATAATCTCCAGATGACATTCATGTTATTAAAAACTATACGGCCTTTGATTTTTCCATTTTCATCTACTTCTTTTTTACTGCTAGAAGCCTCACACTCATGCTGCAAGGAACCAATCTGTCCACTGTCTTTTGAAACGTGATTCTCTAAAATTCTTAACGAGCTCTCATCATACCATCCATTTCTTTCTTTTTGGCCATCTGTGTTCTTTGCAGAACTAGATTTGCACTTGGCAACTTCATTAGGTGAGTTCCCCTTCAATGATGGCTCTGAGAGACAGCAAAAATCATACAATAAATAATCTTCAATGAATTCGGGCATTTTTTCTTCTGAACTATCACTATTTTCAAGTCCAGCTGCCAGAGATGACTCGGAAACAGGCAATGTCTCATACAAATGCTGAGCTTCACTGTGACTAGAGTAATATGCCCCACCAATACAACTATCAGCTTGAGCATCATTGGTTTTCTTCATTTGAAATGCATCTTCACATATCTCATCCATAATATTTTCAACATCTGCAATTGATGTCAGAACTGATGAAGTTAATGGCGGAGAGTTTCCCTCAGCAGTTGATATTTCTTCATTCCCATTTGCTTGTTGAGCATTCTCCCACCTAGTCTGCAGGTGCACTGCCAATTCTTCAATAATGGGAGAAAAAATCTGTTGTAGTTGAGTGGCCAAACGAATCAAACCAGATACAGTGTCATGGCAAGTATTTAAAACAATCTGAGACTCTGAGCATTCAACATGCCACAGATTCCCATTCTCACAGTCAATTCTCACAACTGCTTCGATGTTTGCCTCTTGAGCAACTTTGACATAACCAATCTTGTGAAGATGCTCAACACTATAAATATGACACGCAGTCTCAGGCCCACAAACCACAGAAAGAAGCAAGCCCAGGTCCTGCACCGTAATTTTGTAATCACGGACATTTGAATCAGCAAAACTGGTGTTGGATACCCTCAAGGAAGACGCAGCTAATAGGCAAGCAATATGTTGCTCATCTATCACTTCATTTACATTGCTAGAATATATGGTCTCAGAACCTTTATTAAACCCTAAATATGGTTCATAACTCAAACCAATATCTACCATGTTAAGAACAAAAGAACATTCAAAAGGCAGACTTTCTTTACAATCTTTTTTCTGTGATATGTTGTCAGATTCTTCAGTTTTGGGAGACAACAAGCTGAAAAAAGATGTAATCATATCCAGCCAGTCCAACCGTCCACCAACTGCTACAATAGTGCCACCCCAGACAGTGATAGATGTGTGATTGCTCAAACTTTGAGGATCCAAAAAGTGTATTATGTCAGACCCTGATCTTTTGGATGATAATACATTTGATCCATCTCCACCACCACGCCCCATTGAAGCATTGTTGCATGATATCAGAAGAACTTCCCTTGTAAGTCCAGAAATATACCCCCACAAATTTCCATCACCGTGGAAGACACGGAGAAAACTGGTGCTGGTAATTCCTCCAATGTCAGAAGCAGAAAACAGTCCAAACTTCTGAACCTCAAGTTTCAAACTATGCCAAGAACCTGGTAGTTCATACTGGAATGGTCCCTTAATACTCTCCTCTACTTCGGTACTGATTGAAATAGATAAAGTTTCACACTCAACAAGAACTGATGTTTGTGATGCAAAAGATTTGTCTCTCATTTCAACTTGAACAGAGGCCATTAGAGAAAAGCCATCAATCAACTGACTAAGAAAATTGTGTACGTAAACATACTGAGACTTGCTTAAGTTGGCTGTAACAGAAGATATCTGTGCATGAATGAAAAACTCAGAGCTGTCTATCATCTTTCGTTGAATATCATCATAATCTTCTGAACCCTTTACTGTACTAACAGATGCAAATTCAAAGTCTTTCCCCTTTAATCTATCTCTGCACCTGTTAATATCTGAAGAAGAAAAGCATTTTGCTTTGATTACCGTATCAGTTGAAGCAACACCAGGACTCTTTTGCCTGAAAAAGCTAACAGCACAAGTTTGTCTCCCACAAGATATGGACATGATGTTCTGAGCTAAAAAATTTGACTTGTGTTTGACGCCAGAGCTGCTATCTACATTCTCTTTAGATTCTGAGGTAATTAAGTAGATGTTGAGATCCCCGAAGTTCAAATGTAAAGAGAGTGATGATTTCAAAGGGTACTTGTTCTTGGAACAAGCAGTTGAAGTTGGGCCCACAGGATCATTTTTCTTTCCGGGCAATGTGGATGAAGACAGGTCAAGAGCAATAAACTCCCCCCAAGATGAGTAACTCCTGAAACCTCCAACTTTTCTATACGGGAAACACATTATTATCCTTGAAGTTGGAAGGAATACATTGCCTGTAAAATTTTGATGTGTAGAAGAGCTCTTCATCTCTTGCATTTTAGAAGAAAGGCAATATCCCTCATAAGGAGACACTCTACTCGTTCTCTCAAAAGATTCACTAACTTGCTTCAGAAGTTCAGATATTTCACTCATCAAATCCAAGTCCAACCAAAAAATGAAGTATGGTAACTTCAATGAGAAAGATGTCGGCCCACTGAACAACTCACTAGATGCACCGATTGTGATTTGGCACTGACTTTGACCGATTGATTGAAGTAATTCTACCTGAACCACATCATCTGGACCGCTAAATGTTTGCGGTTGTGTGCACCTATTATCAAAAAGCATAGAAATGTCTCCAGCAGCACATGATAGATTTCTTAGTTCGTCCTTTGCACTGGACCTAGAAAGATCTGGAATGGCATTTTGAACTGACTTTTGAATTTCCTGAATGCCCTTACTATCTTTCAATGTACGATCCCCATCAGTGAAGCAATCAGCCAGCCCAATATGCTGCACCGTAGCTTCAAAATTCATTTCGTGACGACATACCTGTAAATTTCAACATGGACATTTAGCAACACAGATAATATAATAAAATTACCGAAAAGAGATGTACATTTACCTGCACTACAAGAGAGAGGTCATCAAAATGTGCACTCATATAATGAACAAAAGTACCAGCAGTCATTCCATCAGTCTTCAAACTGGAGCAGTGTCTGTCTTCATCGTCAGTGAAGAAAAAGCTTACAGATATTTTGACAATTGCTGCCCTGATTTTGGTTTCAATATGCAGCTGCTGATCTGACCAAGGAAAACACATAGCCTTGAAGTAGTTTTTTAAAGTAAAAAGGCCCTAACTACAAAACTATTATTGTTCTCCCTACTTGACAAAGAAATACAAACCCCCTAAGATCCTAGCCAGTAAAGAGACATGTAAGATCAGGTACACAAAGACAGCTTTGAATTTGGACAACATATTCAGAGTGATCCAAACATGACTTAGACATGAATTTTTAAAGATAAGTTATTGGGATCTGACACACTCTAGGTCTTCATTCGAAGGGAAATTTTCAAAACTGACACCCCAGATTCTAGGTCTCAAACACGTCATTATTTCTAACTCCAATTTCCAATGCTAGTCCAAAAGATTCTATCATTAACTTCACCATTCTAGATATTAAGATCATGTGTTGCAACCAATTACAAAACTGACAACGTGGAATTGAGCTCAAGATGCCTCTGTATCTATCTTGACTGTTCAGAATGAAATATTCTGCTTCAATTAGTTCTTTATAACTACTCATGTACCTTATGGACCTAACTTCTTAATGACTTGATTAAACACGTAATAAAGCAACAAACATGAGAAGGAACTCAAGCAAACAATTTATAGTTAATGACATAAAATTTTAATGGAAAAGATATAGAAAAACTGAGGAAGGATAATTTATCTTGCATAAGAGCAAGACAAGTGAACTAGTTATCTATGAAATGGCAATGTCTACTGACTGAAAGATAGAACATATAAGTATATGCATAGTTGAAAGTTGAAGAGGCATACCAGAAGGAATGTGTACTGATCCAGAAGCAAGAGTGGATGCAGTAGTTACTGCGCTAAAAATGGAACTTGTCCAATTCCAAATCCCACTTCCTCCCAAAGATGACTGTGAATTTCTCAACCCGTCAAAACATTCAAAAAACTGCTCCACACTGAAAAAGAGAATTCAGCCGGGAAAAAAAATCAGCAAGAACAGGTCCAAACCATTATTTCTTGATAAATGATATGAAGAGGCTGTACATAATCCTAACACGCTAGACAGAATTTAAAAAAAAGTAAGAGAATAGACAAAGTGGTGTTAAAGAGTAGAGGGAATAATGAACAATAACGACTATCAAAATTGCAGCTAAAAAAAAGAGATGCGGAAGGCATTCCTAGCCTCACAGCAAAAAGTTTTTCAAGCAGCTACTATGTGGAGATAATGCGTGAGACCTTATATACAGCACCCTAAAACTCCTTACAGAGGGTTGTATTGATAGCAATCTAAGGAAGATAGAATATGCAAGAGCGATAACAGGAATTTCCAAATCCATGTGATCTAGGAGTTCCCTCTTCTGATCTCTTTCCTAATTTTATCTCTATTCGTTGGCTACATTGAGCATGTAATAGATGTCTCTTATTATTCTTGAATTATGCTCGAGTCAGGTTCTTTCGGAAACAACCTCACTAGCTTTTCTATATATGTGTAATGTTTGCGTGCACCCAGCCCCCATCTATGGGATTTTGGTGGGTTGGTTGTTGTAGTGATTATTAAAGAAGAGAATAGATTAAATCGCTAAGGTCACTCATAGAGTGTGTTATGTGATTATGGCTCTTATAATCGGCTTAGATTAACCTTTATCCAGAAATTTCTAGAAATACATACTCTTTCTTGATCCCTATTCCTTATTCTGATTGGAACCCTTCAGAATTTACAACACATCTTTTCCATAAATCTCTATCAATTCCTTGTTCTGTAACAAGTTCTTGATGCGAAAGTTGTCAAATAGCAACCAGAAGTCCATGACAGCTCCATGACAGCTCCATGACAGTTGGAGGTGGGGCCGTGGAGGAAATAGAGCAGGCCACAAAATGATATTTGTGAAAAATAGCAGGCTAGTTATAGGCTCATAGCAGTTTATAGAAGTGCATATGACAGAATTTCAGTCATCTGCCATTAATAACACTGTTCAATGCACTGAATAAGAACATCGCATAAAACTGGATAGCTATGTCATCGAATATTAGTTGAAATTTATTTAATATAGTAAATAAAAGAACTGCATAGAGATTCAATTTCAAACCTGGCTCCAAAATCAGGCTCTTCAGTTTTTTCTGTCTGGCTCCTCAGCCAATCTGGAATAAGATGTGACTCAGAGAGTAGGGCTTCACCAACTGGCTCTTCATCAGTTAAATGAAGGTATTCAGTAGAATTTTTGTTTTGTCCAAGAAAAGCATCAGAGAGCCTACAAGAATCTGTATTTGATACAGCACAATTCAGCTGTTTGTTGCATTTATCAAATTCAATTACCCTGCTAATGATGTTGCTACTGTTTTTGTCTCCGATGTCTCTGAACATTTCCCACAAGCATAAAAAGCTTCTAATGCTGGTAGGATGAAATTTCAATTGCAATGGATCAATATAAGCATCTGCCTCCACTTTGTGGATATCAAGAGAACCATTGTCCCAAGGTATACACAGTTTCAGATTTCCAGAAAATCCACCTCTTTCACCAGTGATGACTGGGATTGTCCGGTTGTGGTAAAAGCAGCTTGAATGTTCACCCGCTGATGTTCCTGAAGAACAAGGAAATGGCTTCTTCTCATTAACGCCATTCATGGGGAGAAATTCAAGTACAGCTCCTTGAAACTTTACAAAGTTGGTCATTCGACATAACCCGAGTACATTGCCAGACACTGATTCACAATCTGAAGAAACACTGTCAGATATGCATGTCCCGCATTCTATTTCAGTCAATCTTAGAACCAAGGAGCTATTTAGGCATTTGTCCTTTTCTGCGGCAAAACAAGGATCGAAAGCTAAAATGAGTTTTCTAATTCTCACGTGAAAATTTGTAAGCAGCCACTTTACCATGAGGGCGACAGTTTTAACTCCTTCGTGAACATCCAAAGTGCTGGTTCCAGCACTACCAGCAGTATCGTGGTCAATATTAGGCAAATTGTGGCTGACATAATATGTGTGGTCCTGAGATTCTTGCCCGGAAGTAGAGACTCCCACTCCATTTCCAGGTATATTGCACAATCGCGGAGCAAAAACAAGCTCAAATTCATCAACTTCTACGCAGCAGCCATCCCCCTTCCAGGGCATTTTAACCAGCAAAGAGCCAATAGAACCTTCTTTCATCACAACAGTTGTTGCTGAACCAAACTGGAAAATAGAAGGGTACAATGGTCTGTAAAATAAGAATGTAAGGTTCACTTTCCACCTTTTCTATATGGAAAAAGTGAACTCTGCAGAGGACTGAAATTTTTGGCAAAACAACAATGTCACATTAAAATGGGAGATATTGGCCTTGTTTGGTAAATGGCTTTTGGATTAATAGTCAGCTGTTTGACCATATATGGCTGATTTGACTATTCAAAAAGCCAAAAATATGTGTTTGGAGTATGGCTTTTGAGGTTGGCATCTCAGCTCCAAATGCTGAAATCTCAACAGCCAGAAGGAGCAGCCTTTACATTTAGCCTCTAGGGTTAATTCTTTTTTTACCCTTTTTTGAGCTTTATTCGCAGATCTGCTCGTCTGCATTAACTGGTGCTCTCCCTTCCTCTCTAAGCAATTTTATCTTTTCTAGTTTCCATTTCTCCTTTCTAGAGTGTTCCGTTTTTGTCTTCAGATATTTTTTTTCAAAATATTTTTTTTCATTCTAGATGTAATATAAGAATTGTTTGCAATTTGATTTACAGTACTTATTATGAAGTGCTATTACGTATGACTCATTTTGTATATAAAAAATATACGGAGTATATCTTAGATGAGTGTCCTTTAAAAAAATCAATGTTTGTGTTGCTATCAAAATTCAAAAAATTTAATTAAAATTAAACATTAATTAAATTAATAAACAATGGAGCATGTCTTTAAATGTAATTTTCTATACAAACAGCTACTTGTGAACAGCTAAGGTTTCCAAACATTTTTTTCTAAACAACTAACACAAACAGCTAACTCAATCAACCATTCAAACCAGCCAACACTAACAGCCAACGGCAAACAACCAATTTCCAAACAAGGCCATTAATGTATAATTGCTGTCCAAATCAAGGCACAGTTGTATGGAAGGACCTGATGTATCAGCAAGGTTAAAAAATGAGCCCAATTACATGGTAAAGAAAAAGCAGGCAGTGATTGACTCAACCGACAGTCACAATTCTTCATTAGCACTAGCCGTGAGAAAAGGAAGAACATAAAAAATTCTTCAAACCCTACACTACATTTAAGGCCTCGCTCAAGTGGTTTTGTGTTGCAACTTTTCTTTTGGTTTTTTTATGAAAATCAGGTACTGGAAAAAAGTTGTTTTCAGTTTTCTGCTGGCAGTTTTTAGATTAAAGTATACAAACTACGAACTGGGATGTTTTCAGTCTAAAGCAGCCCCGGGGGGATGTAACTATCTCTTGCATAGTTTTCTGATAGCTCATAACATCACTGTAGTCAGTGGATTAAAGAAGAACTATACCCTATTAATCAAACAAGGCAAAGCAAAATTCCTTTTTTTTCAACTATCCAAACTGATCAGGAGAAGAAAAAAAGGATGTAAACTAAAAGAATTGAGGAAATAAGTTTTCAATAAGCCTGGGAAAAAAAGAGATGAAGCTCAAACAATTCCCATCATAAAAGGATGAATTCAAAACTCTGGGCTTTCTTCGGGCTATGATCATCAATCAAAAACACCTAAAAAGAAAAGAGTAAGAAGGGGGAGGCACCTTCTGGTTGAGATAATCCACGTTGAGGGCGAGATCAGAGAGCTGAATGGTGCCGGCGCTGAGCTGGACATCAAGCTGGTTGAGATCGATGTCTCCTAGTATGAATTTGCCCAGTTTCTTCTTCAGCAAGAACTTACAGAGCCTCTTCATCGCCCAGCGAGAAAACACGGCCTCCGCCGACCTGGCGAGGTTCCACGGAAACATCTTCTGAAAACTCCGCAGGCTGAATTCAACCACAGTCAATTGAAGTGTGAATCTCTCTGCAGAGGAGCATTAAGGCCTTTGTTAAGGCTATGGATAACGCCCCCACCAGCTGATTCTGATGGAAATATTTGCGAGAGATTTTTGCTCCTCCGCCGTATATGATTAGAGAGAGTTAATCACTCAGTTGGCGTATGGGGTTATTCATCTGCTTTAGATCTTTGTTTTTTCCTGCTTATGGTGGATGGATGTTTATGAAACATTATTTTTGGGGAGTTAAAAAGAAAAAAGGACAACGCTTTAAGAGGAAGGGAGTAGTTTTTTTCCAAAAACAAATTCAAATAAAAATTTGTTTGGAAAAAAAACTAAAGTATAAGCAATACATAGAAAATATACTAAAATAGAATTTCCACATTTTTATTTTTGAAATAAGTGTTAAATTGCTCTTACAGTGTCAATTATGACCATATATATTACCAAAAAGTATTGTGATATGTCTAGATACGACACCATATTACTACAAGCGAACTCATATTTCGAGAATAAAAATGTGAAATTTTATTTTATTACTTTCTTTATGTTTTAGATCATATATGATGATTTCTTAATTTGTTTAGTTTTGACCTTTTATTTTTAATAAAAAAGGACATTGCTTTGCGAAACATGAATTTAGTGTTCACTCTTTATATATAATCAAATAAAAATTATATGAGAGTATATTAATTCAATAACTCGATAAAATAATATTTTTGAAAATATTTTATAAATAAGTCTAGTAAAATTATTTTTAAATTATTATCTAATACGGAGTATCAACTTCATTTAATTAATAGTCAAAGTTGTCAATTTTGACTAGAAAAAAACAAATTGGAGAAATATTTTGGGACGAATGTAAAAATAAAAGACAAAGAAAATAAAATAATAGATGAATTAAAGACATCTAACAAAAGAAATCACCTTAAATAGAAGTAAAACATAAAAAAAGTAATAAAATAGGAGTTTCATGTTTTATTTCTTAAATAGGAGTTCGCACTTTGATAATGTGGCATTGTACATGAGCATTTTACTATATTTTTTTGATGATGTACATGGTCATGATTGGTAATGTAAATTCAGTTTAACTCCTATTTCGGAAATAAAAACATGAAGGTTCAATTCTATTTTGGTATATTTCAATGTTTTACTCCTACTTTAGTCTTTGTCTAACTAACAACCTAACACATGGAACTTAAATATACTCTATAAAAAATATGCGATTAGAATTTTTATAAAAAGGAACAAATGATTTAAACATGAAATTTCTGTGCTATCCATGTGACTGAACCAGGATCTCTGGAAAATAGTGCATTTACGTTCGAGTAGGGGTAAAATCTGCGCGTACACATACTCTCTCCAGACCTTATTCTTCGTGAGATTCTATTGGATTGTTGTTGTTGAGCGACTAAAAACTTTCGCAAATCGCACGTAAATAGAATGTTACAAGAAGGACACACACGTCAAATCTGTTCAGGTTATACCTCAAATATTTGTCACCACGATAGATGCTAGAGGTTTGATCGTTAGCGCACAGAAACAATGATATAAAGCGCGAACGGCGTGCACGAGATACCATAGCTCCTCAATTGCACGTTTTACTTCCTGGATCGACCAAGAAATTATATACTTCCCGGAGTACTCTATAGTACGTTGCTTTTTAACTTCTTTAATTTTTAAAGTTCTTTTCACTTTCTCATGACATCTCTTGATATTATTCCAACTCTTAGAGCACGGGGACTTCAAACCTATATTTTTTACATTTTTGAATACAGATCTTCTAAAATTAAATTATTAACATTTCATTATTTTATTTAATTTAAACGATAATAAATCATTAAATAAAAAATACATTCAATAAAAAAATTACATTAAAAAAATAAAACTTGAATAACAAATAAATTAAAAAAATAAAAATTACATTACAAAGAAATTAGTGATTATTCGAGCGACTAAAATATCTTCAATCAAATTCGTTGCTAGTGCATTGTGAATCTCTCGGCTTCAAATTTCTTGGAGGTTTCTTCGTTTCTTTTTTCATCGATTTCTTTGTACGTAGGTAACTTCTCATCCGGGTTTAATGACAAATTGCAAACCCGTAGTTCTCTATGATCATATCATATTAGGAAGAATACTACATGCATACATGATATTCCTCATTTTTATTTGAGAATAACACTTGGACGGACAATCTAGAATGTGCTACTTACCCTTTAACACCCCGAAGGCTTGCTCGATATCTTTTCTCACCGCCTCATGAGCTTTTTTGTAGGTCTGGCGTTTAAGACCCATTGGTTCAGAGAGGAACTTGAAAATAGTAAAATAATCTATATATTCCATCTGCAAGATAATATCCGCGTTTGTAAAGCATCCCTCTAAGGTAAAAAGACGAGTCGGGTGTAGTCTCATTAATCCAATCGTAAAAAACAGACGATTGATCAAGAACACTGATGTCGTTGATCGAGCCTGCAACACCAAAAAAACCACAAGTCATTAGAAGTCACAACTTCGAACATGATAGTAGGCTTGGGATGATCACCCCATGACAATTTTTCCATTCCCAATGCTTACAATGGATGCTCCCTAGCATGCCGACAAAGTCGTGTTTAGCGGCATGCCTAGCCTGTAACTGCTCAATGTTGCTCGCTGATGGCTTATGTAAATACCTTTTATGATAAATTCGAATAATGCCTTTAGAAAATTATTAACACATGCATGATGCTCTAAGCTGACATCTTCAAATATTCGTCGAACATATCAAATGTTGTCCCGTATACCATCTGACGAAGCGCGGCGGTGCTGTAACGCCCCGAAAATATGCCTATCAGAATTAATTAATTGATAATTAATTAATTACTGAGAAGGATCCAAAAATAAGTGATTTATAAAGTTTGTCAATAAATAATGAAAATTACATCATTGTGTAGAGCTTGACTGTCTGACCCCAATAGTTCAGTCAAATTTCAATTCGGAGAAAGTTGGACCAAAAAGTGTACCCCGACTCGGATCAAAAATCAGTCCCAATCAGGGACTACACACCAAACGCAACCAATTCAATTACGCCAATTCCAAATCCTAATCACCGCACAATCACGGAAGCAGCAAACCAGTGTCTTCTTCCTCCTTCACTTGGCTATTTAAGGAGAACCAATTCCTTCAATACTACACCAAAACAATTCACTCCTCCTTCTATATTGTTCCTTGCTGAGAGTAAAGTGTAGTGGTGATGTCATTCTTGTGTGAGGTCGCCGAAGCAGAGAGTTATCGTCGCCAGAAGTTTCGCCAGAAAATTCTCAAAACCTTCGTTTAACTTTGAGGTAAGCCCGTAGATATATCTAGTGACTAGAATGTTCATGTAGGTCGTTTCTACATTCATAAATGATCATTTGGTTGAGTTTGTGTTTGACATGCTTGAAGAACTAAGAATCATATATCATGAATTTGATGTTAAAACTATAAATTAATGATACCAAAATGATCTATGAACCTTGGAGAACACTTTTACATAATTTAATTGAAATTTGTTGATTAAAAATTATATTTACGAAAATGGACCGAAGGTAGAAGACTATGAACAGTAGCAGATAGACCGATCCAGGTAGCTGGATGGATCACCCGCAATAGAAGAATTCTACTGGGAGGATCGATCCTCCAAGCTAGATCGATCACCCGACCTGAATGCTCCGAAAATACTTTTGAAAATGTTATTTTGGGGCTCTAAAATCTTATTTTTGATATCAATTAATTATGAACAATATAAACATGATTTTTCACAATAAATATGATGTTTTTGACAAATAAAATCTTATATGATGCATGACGGTAAGTTCCAGTGTTAACACTCGAGACTAGGCCGCTATTTACTATTGAATGTTATGTTGATTGATCATTATGATGAATAATGATTATGAATGATGAACGTACTGATTAGAATTATTATTGATGATTTAATCATAACTAAAAATGGATATATTGATAATCACAATGATAATGTATTGTTAAGGTTATCTAGAACAACTCTAAGATATATCATAGTGAAATTGATTTTGAAGGGTATCTAGAAGAACTCTAAGATATACTCATTTAAGTTAGGCCTTGCGGGTATGATGCCCGGTGGCCAGGGTTAAAACGTATGTACGGGATCCAAGAACCAAACTTGAGTACCTACTCGTTTAGGGGTACCACCCAACCCAACAGTGAACACTACGCTGTCGATTTTTGGTTGACCTTAAGCGAAGGTAAGTTTGAGATTTGAAAACCTTTTTAAATATATATATCTTAAACTAGGCTTAGTTTAAGAGTTAGAATATCTTAAACTAAAATTAGTTTAAGAATTGAATTGGCCTTAGAATAAGGATAGTTTAAGGATATTGTTGAGTGTTAAATGTTGAATATTGAATATGAATGTTGAATATTGAATATTGAATATTGAATATTGAATATTGAATATTGAATGATGAATGTTGAATAATGAATAATTTAATTGAACATTACGTGCATGATATCAAATGGTTCAATTATGAATTGAGATTCAATTTATATGGATATTCGACGCTTTAGATATGCTTACTCAGCTTCATCGCTAAGCGTGTAGTGTCTTTTATTTGCTACACGCAGGTAGACAGAATGAATGATTGACATATTCTTGGCAGCGGAAGGGGAGAGACAGTCATGGTGGATTATTGAATAAATAAACAATTGTGTTATGAAAAATGTTTTAAAATCGCTACCGCATTATTATTAAACACTCCGTATTTTCTACTGTTATGTACTTAATAATATTCATGATAAATGAAGATGCTTGGAATGTTTTAAATTATTACGATTTCCAAGTTAATACTTTAGTCTGAAAGAGGTTGCAGACCTGGACGGATTAGGGTGTTACAGGTGCACTTCTGGACGCAGCTAAAACCGCACCGACCTCTTGCATCAAAGCGTTGGGTGAACCAAGGCCCCCCCGCATTTAATCTCGATGAGTATGCGTAAAAAAAGAAAACAACTCGTCCAAAAACAATTACTGAAATCTCTGATGTGTAGACGCACGGAGTATTTAAGTAGTCGTTGAGTAGTGAAGCGTGTGTAGCTGCCCGATCACGATTTAAACGCACGCGTTGGGACAATTTCGCTTCTTCTCGTTTGCCTTGCTGCCACTATTGATAA